TTAGCACTCCGGCTCGAATTGTAATTTACCTTAAAAATTGAGAAGTACCGGAGTTGCGCTCCGGTGCAATTTAAGCACTGGTAAGAGGTGATTTTTCTAGACGACTAATCTTATTGGAACAGTCGAAGATTTGTGGACCAGTAGTCAGTTTACAGCATGGACCATGGATAGAAGAACTAAGGGAGAATAACATCCATGCATCCGATGTAGGAAAAAAAGGGATTTGAAAATAGAAGTTCTTATTGGAGCTGATGTCGCAGGTGCACTACGGATGGTAGATATGAAGTCAGTTTACCTTGGATCAACGATAAAGGTTTACAAGTAACAGAGAAGTTGCCGAAAAACGATTGATTTCCACGACAAACAAGCTCATGTTGAAAGATAAATTTGAAACATACAATGCAGTGTTCGAATCTGGAGTAATAGAAGTAACAGAAGAGAAACGAGTTAATGATCATTATGTTCCCCACAGACCGGTATTCAAAGATAACTGTACAACAGCAGTAAGGCCTGTATTTGACGCTTCATGCAAGCAAAAGGATGTCTCTTAACGACTGTTTAGCAAAAGGTCAGAATTTAATTGAATTAATACCTACATTGCTTCTTGAATTTAGGCAAGGTAAAACAGAGATTATCTCAGATATTAAAAGAGCTTTTCTTCAAATATCTGATCGTGATTTCCTAAGATTCCTGTGGTGGAAAAACTCGGAACAAAGAGAAATAAGAAAATTTTGCCATTGCAGAGTAGTCTTCGACTAAAATGCAGTCCGTTTCTTTTAGGAGCAGTGATCAACTCTGATTTAGACCAATGTGAACCTTCTTTGAAGAAAGTGGCAACAAAATTGAAAACTTCCTTCACCGTTGACAACTGTGTCACTTCAGTGAATTCGAATGAAGAAGCAGAATACTTTATTGCAAAATCAACTCAGTTGATGGCATGTGCTAACTTTGATTTAAGAGGATGGGTAGTAACAAAACTGAGAAGTGAAAAATCTACAATAGGAGAAGCATTGAAAGTGCTTGGTCTTCTGTGGGATTAAATATGCAGATTTTTTGTTTTGTGACATCCCTAATATCGACCTGATTGATCTCTCAGTGACTAGACGAAACGCACTGTCAATTGTACAGAGAGTTTTTGGCCCAATAGGTTTCACATGCCCTTTTATAATCCTTCCAAAGTTATACTTGCAAAAGGTGTGTGTGTATGTATTTAATTATGGCAAAGCACACGAGGTCTATCTGACTAAGGGGAGGGATGCCTTCGCGGAGGTATTTCTAAGGGTAACTGGCTCGTATACACGTTACACATGGGGAAAACCACGAAAACGCCCATGCAGCTAACCCGTTCGCGGGATTCGAACCTCGGACCGAACTACCAGTGTTCAGCGACTTTACGGCTCGGCCGCTGGTGGGCTATACTTCCAAAAGAGTTGGGAAACTAAATTGAGCTGGGATGCCGAGCTACCTGAAGATATCAAAAGAAAATTCTTGAAGTGGGTCAAAGAACCGCCCTTGTTATCATTTGTGAAGATTCCCAGACTACTTCCACTGACAGAAGGACAATCTTTTAGTTTGGATACATTTGCCGATGCTTCACAGGGATCTCATGCAAGTGCAGTGTATTTGAGAAATCAAAATAAAGAAGTTAAGTGATGCTACTGCAAGGGAAAGCACGAGTAGCTCCCTTGAAAAAAAAAATAAGTATACCACGACTTGAATTGCTTGCTTGCCTTATTGGAATGCGATTAGCCTCATTTATCAAGAAAAACCTTAAGGTCAAAATTTCAAAGGAATATTACTGGACCTATTCTTTAACAGCACTATTCTGGATAAAGAATGTAGAAGTTGGTGAGCACTTTTGTAAATAACAGTTTCAGAAATTAGAATTATATCAGACCGTGAAAATTTGCATCATGGACCAGGCGAGGAAAACCCAGCCGATATGCCATCAAGAGGATGCTCTGCGAAGAAACTCATTGAATCAAGATGGCGGGAGGGCCCACCTTGGTTGGCAGTGCCGGAAGAAGAATGGCCTTGTTCTATTCCAGTTGATAATAATAAAGCAGAGGTTAATACAGTACTAAGTCCGAAATCCGGACTCATCGGGATTTCGCGGTATTACCGGATTTGGGATTTTTCCGGATATTAGATCATCAGTTTAAATCTAGTAAGATGGCATGTAGAAATTATAAAATTAAAAACATGAAACAATGAAGTATTTATGATCTAAAGAGTATCAAAATTTACAAAAAAAAAAAAAAAAAAAAAAAAAAAAAAAGCTTAATATTTATTTGTTTACCTTATAAACTTTTCTTCCAATGCAAGTTTTTTAAGTTGCTTCCTTTTTTGTGCTAATGCTTTCTCTTTAATTCTGTAGACAGATATAATCTCTTGTTTAGTTACATTGTTGAAGTCCTGTCACTGCTGCTTCGAGAATTCCGACTGGTCAATCGTAATTTTCTCGTTTTCAGTAACTTCTCTGTCACTTTCTTCACTATCGGTAACGGTATTTTCTGGATCTAGAACCATACTACTGATTTCGCCATTCATTAATTGATTATTCATTGATGATTGAGAAGCATTGTCATCACAATGAATAACTTCTTTTATCTCATCTTCATTTATTACCGCTTCACCACATTCCTTTACTAAATCCGTGAAATTGGAAAATTTCACCTTTGTTTTGCGATATCCGATGCGTGAACGAAGTTCAGGTGTTAGTGGGCTCCTGGGTTAGAAAACCCTCATCCCAGTCGAATGCATGGGTCTGTTTCCGAACTTTTGCTGAACGTGAATAAAACAAGGATTAGCAAATGAAGTGAGGCATAAGTTCCTGTTCACGTATGTTGTAGTAGATCTTGAGATTCAGTTCGAGTGTGGGAAGCAGGATAAGCAATATGGCAACGGAAACGTCGATTAAGGATGGTTACCATGGGAGAGTGTCGATTGAAGGAGCTCGCAGGCAGCAGTGGTGGCGGCAGAAGGCTAAATGAGTTAAAGTCAGGAAACCATCGAAGTAGATCAGGAGAACGTTGATTGGGGTGCGTTAGTCTTGTGTGCTAGGGGGGAGGGGCAAAGGCTCTTTTCAGTCTATACGAAATTTTGAAGGGAAGGCCAAAAAGTAATGGGGGAGGGGGTTAAAAATTGAGGAAAGCCTGCTGGACTTAGAAATAATTTGGGCTGAAATAAAAATCTATTTCTAACTTTCATTTTGTCTGAGGAGGGATATTTCTTTTAAGCATTATTTAGAGATCATCTAATCGTTTTCATTTAAGTTATAGTTATTTATGTATAAAAATTATTATTATTATTATTACTTTTTAATGATATTTTTATAATTACTAATTAGTGATAGTTTCTTAATAAGGCACCTGGCATCCTTCTGTTGCGCTGGTCGTTAACGTTATACTGCAATGAGGGAATGGTAGGATTGTTAACGTTAACGATGTTTGCAAGGAATCTCTTAGCGATTTTATTCATAATCTCAACTAGTTGAGGTGTGTTTGTTTCTCTGTGTATGGCTTCGTTTCTTATGTAATATGTGCTACTACTGATTTGTCTTAATGTGATGTTTTGAAGTCGTTGTAGTCTTATCAGTGTAGTGTTACAGACATAGCCCCAAACCGGGCAGGCATAAGTAATTATTGGAACGAGCATGGCTTTATAAATGAGTAGTTTTTGGTCTAGTGCTAAAATGCTGTTTCGAGCGATTAGGGGGTGTAGTGTTATTTTACTGACTCGAAACTTTGTAGTTATGTGTTTAATGTGGGGCTTCCATGTGAGTCTCTGGTCAAGTACAACGCCTAGGTATTTAACTTCCTTGGCCCAAGGGATGGGAGTATTGTAGAACACTAGATTTCCTTCAATTTTCCTTTTTTTTGAAAACATGACAGCAACAGTTTTGTTGATGTTTACTTCAATTTTCCACTGAGAGAGCCAGAGTTCAAGTGCATGTATGTGTGTTTGTAGCTGTTGGATAGCTGAGCTAGGAGATGCGTTTTGTGCGAGGATCGCTGTATCGTCCGCGAACATAGCGAGTGTTGTGTTATGCATGTGTGGAATATCGTTCGTATATAAATTAAATATAAAGGGAGCGACGAGCGAGCCCTGAGGCGTGCCCGCGCGGATAATTCGTTTAGTGGAAAGTGTTTGATTGATACGAACGATAAAATATCTAACGGTTAGATAGGAGTTAGATATCGATTAGATAGTGTTGTTATGATGAATTCTGGGAATCCCAGAATGATTAATTTGTAGATAAGGCCATCGAGCAAAACACGGTCGAATGCCTTGGCTATGTCTAGGAAGATAGAAGCTGTACAGAGTTTATCTCCAAATCCGGATGAAATTAATTCAGTCACTCTGAATAGTTGATGAACTGTAGAATGTTTGCTGCGAAAACCATATTGCTGTGGGATGATGATTCTTATGTTTTCGGCAAATTTCTTAATTTCCAGGAGGATGATATGCTCAGCAATTTTGCTACATGATGGCAGGAGGCTGATTGGCCGATATGATTAAGGTTCATGAGGAGATTTTCCAGGCTTTGGGATCGGTGAAATAATGGCGATTTTCCAGCATGAAGGAAACTGGCGTAAGTCGATGATGAGTTGAATGATTTTAACGAGGCGACAAATCATCAGGAGTCCAATTTTTTTAATCATAATGTTGGTGATGTTATCATATCCAGGGCTCTTTTTCGTCTTTAATTTTTCAATATAGCCAAGAACATCCGATGGGTTGAATGCGATGCTGTTGTTTGCGTGTGTTTTTGAGAAAAATTGGGTAATGGTACTTGTGACTAAGTTTTCAGTGTATGGGTCAGAAATGTTGTTTGTGACAAACTGGGTAGCATAGTAATCTGCTAGAGACTGAGCTTTTTCAGTTTCTGTGTATGCGATCCTGTTTTGGCCTTTAAGGGGTGGAATAGTTTTGTAGCATCTTTCAAATAACAACAAAACTTTATTTCAAATAACAACACAGCATTTCAACTATAAACATCTTTTTTAAGAATGTGAATTTTATTGTAAGGGTATTTAAACAGAAAATTCCAACATTTTCTTGGCCTGAAGGTATGATATGCCTTGTTACACTTAACAAATACTGCCATCATAAAAAAATAATAAAAATAATAATAAAAAAAGTTTTACAATTCACGAGCACAGAACTAAATTCTGCAATACATTCATATGACAAACCTAAACTGTACTACAATTGTTATAAAAATGTAAATGCAGTGGTTTACAAATGGAATTCAAAATCAAAATTCAATAAAAAAAAATAACCACAGAGGACGTTTACAGTATAAATTCAAGCCCAAAGCATTTTTATGCAAAAGCACATACAAAAAGAGAAAAAAATATTTGGCTATAAACAAAGTCCATGTGAAAAATTATTTCTTTGAACTTCTGGACCCAAACACAGCCACATCACCATTTAAAGGCCATTTCAAGTAATCCGGTGACTGAATGTATTTTTGAATTGTTGGAAGCTCCTAAAATCATGAAAATATTCACAATGAAACATATAAAAGTATTAAAAACTCATAAAAATAACAGGAATTTAATATTACATACATTGCTCCTCAGAATTAAACTCTGTATACAAAATTCTTATCAAGTATAATAAAAATATTTCTCTTTTAAATTCTCTCAGAATTTTTTTAAAAATATCACCTTACATTATGAGTACAAGATTTCAATTATCTACTAATCTTCAATGGTAGAAATACTTTTCAGCAATACCCATTAAACAAATATGGGGCTGTTGACAAAGAATGCTGGATTATAAAAATATACTAATCAAAACACACTGAAATGACTCAAAGTATTCCTCTTTCCTGGTGCCATGTTGGTATGTTTCAATTACATGCTCCATTTGTTGCATATCAGACATTGCAATGATGCTTGATCTAGTCTGTAGAGCTGTGGAGTTACCAAAGTTATGACTGCTGTGATGCTCAGCAGATTTTACTGATATAACAGGTTAGTAATATACAGGTTAATTTCAAAATCACTCTCTTCACAAAAGTGAAAGAGCCAATTAGCATTTTCACAAAATGGTCCTACACATTCACTTTTCGGTAAAAGCGAACATATGAATGAACTTCTTTGGGTTGCTCCAATTCGGAAAATTTACTACTTCCCTCAAAATACCACATGAAACTTCACTGGATTTGTGAAACAAATTTCATGTAGAAAACCCCATCATAAACAATTTTGATAAGCAAGAAGGTGGCAAATGCACAGCATATGGGCTGATTTTTGCAATAGATTTCATGTCTCAGTTGAAACTCTGTAGGTAAACACTTTTGTGATTAACTTACTTTCAGCTACACACTGTAGCAGAATACCATTATTTTTTTTTACATTGAAACAAGACGGCAATATGTTCATTAGAAACAGAATAAAAGTTAAATATGATTTGCAACTTGAACTCAACCGTATAAGAGAAGGCACATTATTTCTGCTCTTGGCCAATGTAAGAAGTTTTTGATATACCTAGTTTTAAAATTATCACAAATTATTTTTTACAACTTCAAGCACAACACATTTTAATATGCTTCACTTTTTCATTCAGTTCTCTTGAATCTCATTTGAACTGTTTTAAATGATTTAGATTCTTACAGTCTGGTTTAACATTTCCAGGTATAACAACTATATTAATTAATACCCAAATACACTTAATGGTTGCAACAAATACAATCAGTCACCATCAAATAAAGCTAACAAGGAAGGTCTTTTAACATTTAACTCATAATAATAATAATAATAATAATAAAAACACTGTGGCATAATAAAAAAAAGGGACAGTTGTTCTATATCTCCTGTTCTGCTGGGCCGATTGACGAAGTTCAAATTGTGTTTTTCATGTCTCGAAACCACATCATAGGATATATATTAGATTTATATATAGCATTATTCTAACATAGGTATTTTGACAAAAAATCGGACTTTTTCTGAAATGACATGCCAATTTTTTTACATTTCAATTCTACATCTCAAATTATGCCAAGCTGCCAATTTTTGTAAAAAACCGCACAAGTAGTTTTTAGAAGATTATCTTTCAAAATTTTAGCTCTTCAATATTCATTGAATTTGACATAGATTTATTAACATCTCTTCTCTTTTATTAAGCTTTTTTGATCCTTTCTTCCACAATTAGAAATTTAGGCTTAATCCAAATATAATCAGCCCATTTTTATGATTTTTTTAAAATTAGTATTTTTAAACATTATTTTTTATAAATTTTTCCAAAAAATTTTTGCATCATAACCTATAAAATTGTTAACATCCTCTTAAAGTAGATGTAGTTCTAGACACACCTGGGAAAAAAAAAATTGTTTCTTTATTCAAAATTTTCTAAAATATACATGAAATCAGATATTCGCACATTTCGAAATTTGGCATCTTTTCTCGGTTGATAATGTATCTTGGCCGATAACGTCAAATGTATCTTACGCACTTGTAAAATTATTTGAAAGTATGAACGATGACTTTTTTTTCCACTCGTCTGCAATGCAAAAAAGGAAAGGAAAATTAGGTTTCTGTATATTAAGAAGTTCACGAAGTAAATTATTTTTGGGCTAAACTGAAAAAAAATACAGCAAGAGAAATTTTTGAACTTCTCCACAAATTTCGCACCCTATTTTACAAAATTTAATATTTAGGCATAATCCAAGTCGTAGAATTGAAACATGGAAAAAATTGGTATGTTACTTCAGAAAAGGTCCGATTTTGCATCAAACTACTTATGTTAGAACAAAGCCATATATAAATCTAATATATATCTGAAGTTGTGCTTTAGAGACATGAAAAACGCAATTTGAATTTCACCAATTGGCCAAGTCGCTTTTTTTGGTGCAGTGCATATGAATCTACTCATTTAGAAATACAAAACGGTATGAAGAAACTACCTTCAGGAGGGGGGGAAAATGGAGTTTTTGATCACTAACAGTGAATTTTCTGATGAATTCAATCACTAAGAGCAAACTTTCTACCAATATTAAAACAATGTGAAATCTGTAAAACAGTGCATATACAATCAGTACATATACTGATTGTAGTAAATTTGTACCCTAAGCAAGGCCAACATGCGATAGAGCATTATCGTGTTGAAAGATGGTGTGATGGAAGGCTCTGAAGATAGAATACAGCCATGGTCCTTAACCTGTCCAAAACGTAATGCTGGCTGCCCACATATTAGCTATATGAACAAGAAGTAATTGGGATGTATATCCAACAATGACCCCCATCACACCAAGTACTGGGCCCATATGACTATGATTCATTACTGGTGCCCCACAGACAGATGCATCCATCCACCAGGATTACTGTATGAAGATCCAGAATTCGTCTGAAAAGACAACATGGTACTCCTGTGTACAGTGTTTTTTTCCTCTCACGACTGTAGTAAGTGAACACCTCTCTGCTGCAATGTCAAGAGATGTTACAATGGTCACCATGCTGGTCTGTGTTGCTGCAGACACATCATCCTGCACATCGGCCAAGCTCCTGAACCAAGACATAACACAGATATATTATCCTGCTAGGTCGAAAGAACAGTGGGCATAAGTGTCCTGGGGCTGCCGATTAATACATTCCACGCGGCCTGCCTAGACCCGCTGATACTATATTCACCTGGCAGTTAACTGAATCCCGACTAATATGAGCAGTAATACCATGGAATGGTACTCAACAGGCGATAATCATCCTGTCATTGGCAAATTCTGATTTGTGCTAGTAAGACTTTCCCCTTTGGATTGGAAATTTCTCGTATGTCTCCTTCATGGCATAGCAATATTAAAAGCCAGCAGAGTATTTACTGTTTCCTATTCACATTGATTTGGTGACGCACATTAAAATGAGAGAAAGTCTTTACAATTCAATGTATACTACTGTTCTATTTCTAATAATTTAGATGACAGTTGATCCTACAATCTTTAAAAAAAAAGAAAGAAAAAAAACAATCTCTACAGAAGTTTTAAAAATGCCCCTCCCCCCAGCCATCAAATCAAATTTTCTCTTAGGATTTTCTTTTGAAAAATATACTTTTCAGTTAATCTAATCTGAAAAATGTCCCCCCCCAGCAATCAAACCAAATTTTCTCTTAGGATTTTCCTTTGAAAAACATACTTTTCAGTTTTCGTCTTTTCTCGCACTACCTATTCAGACATTCCAGATATAAAATATAGAAATTTGTTATTAAAACTTATTACTTTTAATTTTATTTTACACTTAATCCAACAGAATCATAGCACCTATTTAGTGACTAATTTTATCAAGTTTTTTTGTTTATTTTTATATGTTTTTCGTTTTAAATATACTATTACAATTATAATTCTAATCTGAATAAATAATATGCACACTTACATATTATTTTCCTTTTAAATAAAGAAATGTCACATATGAATCTAGTAGAAGCATTGCAACTGCTCTCTGTAGTCTCATCTTTGAAGTTAATTGTAATCAAATTTTTTTTTCTTTATGGATGTTACCTTACACATTCACTTAAATGTAAACTGCGGGGGGAGATGGAATTAATGTTTCTATTTTTGAAGGTAGTAAATTACTTATGAACAGAAAATAATCTCATTTCCTATTTATTACTTTTCATTTAAACTGGGGCCTTGTTTAGTGATATAAATACATACATTGTATCTTGACATTGCTTCAAGATTATACAAAAGACATTTAATATTAATAATTTTACTCTTCATTCCCTCATAAAGGGCCAAAGTATTGATAATTTATACTGCTTTCTAATATTTGTGAATTTTCTTAGAGTAACAGGGTGTGGTGGTGTATTTAATTATGGCAAAGCATACTAAGGCTATTTGTTTAATGGGATGCCTTCATGGAGGACTTTCTAAGGGAAACTGGCTCATATACACGTTACACATGGGGAAAACCACGAAAATGCCCATGCAGCCAGCCCGTTCACGGTATTCGAACCTCGGACCGAACTACCAGTGTTCAGCGACTTTACCGCATGGCTGTTGGTGGGCCTAGAGCAACAGGGATCGTTAAAATTAGTTTAATAAGTTCCCCCTTGCAGTTATTTACCGTACTGGTTGATATATGCACTTCTCAGTTATGAGGCCCCAAAATACTCAGGTATTGCAAGGTGACCACCAGGGTCAAACATATCCTGCTCTTTCATTTAGCATTGAGAAAGCTGCCTCTTTGGTTGAGTTAGGGCTCACAAAGGCTTCAGTTCTATCATTTTGTTGTGAACCTGCTCTCTCGCCTGATAAGGAAAGGATCTTAAGCCTCAACTTAATATAAGATCCATGGGTAGGGCCTGACCCCATAGTTGCATTTGCCAGCCAGAGTGGGTACAAACTACAGGTAAGGGTTCTCTCATGTGACGAAGTTTAAGACCGCCGGTTGAGAGTTAATTTTTGACTTGTTGTGATTCCCTGCTTAAATTCCTCGTACAAATCAGCCCATAATAGTCTGGGGCCCTTAACATAATACCTCTAACGACTTAATTTGCTTATTTAACAAGGACAAAATAGAATTATCAAAAATCTCAGATGATTTGAGGGGGGGTATAGTAAAATACCGGTCTCTTGGAGACAAAAACTGTAATCTTCAATTTGTCTGTTTTCCAGTTATACTGGTTTTAGGATCACTAACCCTTGCAATAGTGTTTCCACTGTTAAATCTTTATATTCTTGAATTGTGTAAAGTCAAGAATTATATCTGATCTTTAGTATTACAATAAACACAGTTTGAATTACCAAAAAGCCTTTGAAAGGTTATTACTTTTCAATGTGTTTATTCTAGGTGCAAGAGTTTTATAAGTTAAATAAACAGATTTGTTTGGTTTGGTTAATTATGGCAAAGCACACTAAGGCTAGTTGCTTAAGGGAAGGAAGGGGTGCTTTTATGTCTTTTTAAGGAAAACTGTTTCATATAAACATGGAGTAAAGCATGCAAATAGCCATGCATGCAACCCATTCACCTAGAATTAAACCCAGGTTAGAACTGCTAGTGTACACCAGTTTTACTGCTTGGGTGCTTGTAGGCCTACAATAAACAGAAGGCATATAGCTATTCTTGTATGACAAAATTTACACAACACTCGTAATTAAAAAAAAATTCTCAAATTATTTACACAACCATATAAAACACATTTTTTAAATTAATAAAGGATAAATCACAAAAAATTAAATAGTAAAATTTTTTTTAAAATCAAGTTTACCTCAAACCTATCAAAGAAATCCTTCAAATTTTGGAATTCATTCAGGCAATCAGCAGCTAAAGCCTTATGATGATACAAGGCTTCATAAACCATGAAGTCAACATAGGTAATCTATAAATAAAGAAAACAGTCCCATCTTATATCTGAAATGATCCAAGTCATAAACATATTTTTTTAACCATTTTCAAAATTGACATATGCTTAGTTAGATAGCTTTCTTTTAGCAAATTTTTTCCCTCCAATTAACCACAGAGATTATTTTTATCTGTTTCGTTTATAAAAAAATCTACAGTTTTTATCACTTATTTTACCAGATAAAATTTGCTGTATTTACAATTTATTGATGTCACAAATGCAATACATTTGAATCTTTTATTAATTATTTTAAAACTATTCCTCAATTACGACATTTCTGCATTAGCTGCAATTATGTTCGGGAATTACATCTTTTTCATAAATTTGAATATGTGCAGAACTTGGTACTATCTGTTTCCAATCTATTGATGACCTGTTTTGATTAGCAAGTTTTGTCTAATGACATAGAGAAAAGTATATGAATATGTATCCCTAAAGATCACTTAAGTTTCCTGAAAATCATTACAAAATTACCCTAATTTAGACTATGATAAATAATTAAAACCATCTAGACCTGCATCCAATGTACTGTTCTTAAGTATGCCAGATAACAAATGCGTAACAGTGTATACAGTTCAACATGCCTAATAACAAATACAGTGGGTGATTGGTTAACGAACATAATCTGTTACAAGACTATATTCGCTATCCGAATTGTTTGTCAGATTCTTTTGTGAAATCAATTAATTTGTTCTGGAGACTCTTAAAAATGAAATTAAATGTATAGGATGTATAATTTCTTAGTAAGTTTATTAAAAAATTCATACATATAGTCTTGTATATTAATCATCCTTTTCTTTTTTTGTTTATGGGGCGTTAAAGAGCATGTCCAATGTCCACTGCTTTTTTTCTCTTTTCCAGGATTTTCCGGAAGTGATTAATAGCATGTTGTCGTTGTAAAGATCCCTAAACCTACTGATATTAGCTTGGTTTGGGTGCCATTCTAAGACCATTGCTCCGACATCCTCCCACTTCTTCAAAAGATCTTTAACGGCAGATGTCGGCATTCCTTTTGTTAAGAAGACACATTTCGCTCTTTCTTCATGTTCTTCATTTAAGATTTGTTGGAGTTCTGTCGTCAGTTCATGTTCCATTATGACATCTTCTATGCTATCCTCATTCACCTCCAATTCCAGATCTCTAGCAGTTGTTAAATTCCATCCACTATTTTAGGGGTGTCTTCCTGAATGAGAGGGAGCAGGAGGCGCTCAAAATGAAATCAAAACCAGAACTGATGATCTACTTTGGCTCTAAATATTCTAGTGGAAATTTTTTTTTTAAATATACAACTTCGAAGTTTAATAGGCAAGCAACATAATTCAAGAGAGATGAAAAACGATTTTTGGTCCATTGGGTTTGACAACCCTGCACTTTATGCTCCGAGAGCCGAGAAGTGTTCGTTATAATTTGTTTTAGTTCCGTTATCTGAATATGTGTTCATTGTCCAATTTGTTCACAGTCCTAACTGTTTGTTAACCAATCACCCACTGTATGTAAAAATATATTACTACCTATATTCTGAGGCCATAGCCTAATGAAGCTGCTTTTTGAAGAAAATTCTGAAGGAAGGGTGGAATATCAACTAACATTTTTTTTCTTTAAATTTATCTTAAAATGTAAGAAGGAGCTTACTTTTTTTCATTTGATGTATTGGTGTATTTAAATATGGCAAAGCACACTAGGGCTATCTGCCTAAGGGGAGGGATGCTTTCGTGGAGGACTTTACAAAGTGAACATGCTAATTATACAGAGTATCACAAAAGGTCATCTCAGGTCACGAGGAATAAGAATTACATAGGAAAAGGGGAAAAACAAAAGTGTAATCTGCCAGAGGGCAATAAGTTCTGACAGAGGCAAGAGTAGGAAGTCGTATCACTCAAAGTGCAGATGTTGCAGAGAAAGGATGAACCAGTACAGCAATGCAGAATTGGAGGCCATACATTACGAATATGGCTCTGTGGATGATAATGGACACGCTGCAGTATGCATGTATTGACAATGGTACATGAACGAACGTCACCTGACCATAGACTGCGGACAATTACACTGCCAATTGCAAGAAGCAGGATTTGTTCAGAATCAGCAGCCACATTGGCAGGCAACGTTAAGACACAGACAGCGGATGTCAAGAATGCTGTATGACACAATGAGACAGAATCTGCACACAGGTATCGGCGTCTTGGAACACAACCTAGGTCCTCCATTATGAGATTACTGTGCGGAAGATCATCAACATCCACACCACATACAACGGGTGCAGGCACTAAGTGATACAGATTATGCCCAACGTCGCATTTGCATGCTGATACTTACAGGCAAGGATTGCAGACCCACAATTTCCATCATGGGTACTGTTCATTAATGAAGCTATCTTTTCCCAGGATGGTATCATCAACCAGCACAAATGCATAGACGATCAATCGTAAATCCTCATGTCAGACAGTTACACAACCATCAACACCAGTAACATCTGGGCCAGAATTATAGGTGACAAGCTGATCGGTCCATATGTAATGCTTCAACGGGGTTTCTTATGGTTTGTAACAGGGTTTTTGTATGCAATTTTTGTTCAAAGTGTTGCCCACATTGTTAGTGGAAGTTCCCGTAATCGCATGCCTCAAAATGTGGTTCCAGCATGATGGGGCTATTTCACATTTCCACAGGAATGTAAGTCAATTCCTGGATTTCACCCCCCCTGCATTTTTACGTCTGGGGATACCTTAAACGGCTGTTGCACAAGACATCTATTCTTTAAACAGCGGCACATGTTTGGAAGACTCCAGACCAATTCGAATGAATTTGTGAATCCATGTGAAGCATGCATTGCAGTTGGTGGGGACAATTTTGAGCATTTGTTATAAAATTTTTCATTTGTATTTGGTACTTTTTTGTCGTAAAATTTCGACCCTCCGTTCCCATGTAATTCTGATTCCTAATAATTTGTGCCGTTTGGACATGAGCTTTTGTCACACCCTGTACAACAACCAAAGACTTGCATATACTGTCTGCCATTTTTTTATCATTCATATTATTATATATAATTCTGATCTTGCAAACTAGCATAATTTTATGGTGCTTTCTACATTTTTAATATTTGAATTCTAAACACAAAGCCAAACTGTACACAAACATAATAGAAAATGAAAAAAAAAAAAAAAAAAGGGGGGGGGATTCTTGTGCAAAAATTGCATGTTTCCAAAAAGGTGTTCAAACAACTCAGCAATACCATTTCAATAAACCTCCAAATTTATTATTATTAAATATCTTTAATAACATTAATATATTTTATTTTATGCTGCTTAATTAGCATTATTAGTAAGTTTTATGTTCCTTGGCTTATCTTATTTTGAAATTATTTTACACTTTTACACCCAGAAGGGGGAAAAAAGCTTTTAGTCATCTAAGTATTTTTAAATATGACGAAAATAAAATTAATATGTAATGTACATAGCGTGTGTATAAACTTGACAATGTACCTTTACTGATGCCAAACATAACAAATGTTAATTGATTAAAATTAGTTGAATCATCACAAAAAAGCCATATGAATGTCTATGGAAGATTCAGATAAAAATTGATAACAAAAAATATGTTGAAAATCAGAAAGTATGAGGAAATGGGATTTACATAATTTAAGTTTTATTAATTCAATAAATTTCAAATTCAATAAATTTCATTTATTACTGGCAAATATTTTCCTTAATCAATGCTAGAAATTAAAAACTGGGAGATTTTGTGATCTACTGGAACTGTTAGTAACTATGACAAAAAAATTTTCTTACCGTCAATAAACTTTATTAAATAATATAATTGTCGTTATCATTAATGACATTTTGCCAGCATGAGGGCAATTTGCATATCCTATTTTTGAATTTTTTGAAGTCCAGGGAATGTGGTGGATGCGAAAGAATTTCCCAGCCTAGTTCTGTAATTCTTTGAAGAGTCCCCAAAGCAGCATGTGGCCTGACATTATCATGATGTCCTTCCTACTGAACATCGTCTTCCTCTTTTCTTGAACAGCTGTCTTTAAATTATCCAGTTGTTGACAATACTTCTTCGAACTGAGCTTTTCATTTGGTTTTAAAAGCTCATAATGTATTGGTCGAGTGTCCCACCATATACACATTCTCTTATTCAGAGTCAAATTCGGTTTAGAGGTGGAAGAGCTAGGTTTCCCAGGTTCACAATATGGCCTTTTCCTTACAATGTTTCAGTAGGCAACCAATTTTTCATCTGGTTCAAGAAAAACTTAATTTTATTCCGAGCAAGCAGAGATGTGCATATAACGATTCGATCATCCAAATTCTTCTGACTTAATTCATGTGGCACACCCATCTTGAGTATTTCCACACCAATCTTATCTTTCGCATAGGGTCTGAAATGATTTGCTGAGCTGAATTAAGCCTTCCTGCGATCAATAACATCGTTCTCGATCAAAGATGGTCACTCAAAACGTGGTGTATCAGAAAGGTTGAAATCACCTGTGTCAAATTTTTCGGACCATCTAACAGGAATCAACTTTGTTTTAGCCAATTTGCTACGTCAGTATGTATACATTAAGTGATAAAAAATAGAACCAAAATGCACTAAATAAACATCTGCTTATGTGTCAAAAAATGCGGCATAAAACGGACAGAACTTTCTGATAGACCGACCGCACAAAATAAAACTACATATAGTGATTTCTAACCAAACGTTTAAAGTGAAGTCGAGCTAATTTGTTTATAACAGATTAAAAATATAAAGGAAACCCATTCAATAAGTTTTAGATTTCAGATGCATCAAAATAAAAATTATATTGAATATTTTATATTTTCATAAAAACTTAAAACACCATATATACTTCTATACACACCTTATCCTGTGAGGCAAACCACAAGCGTTTACCAAGAAAATCAGAAATTTCTTTCAACAGAGTGGGTAATTTTTTCAAATACTCCTCTTTCAGCTTTTCCTACAAAAATAAAATTTGATATTTGAATTACTCTCTCAATGATAATTAAAAACATTTGTAATTTTAAGTCACCAACACCTATTTTGAAACATTTATTAAAGGTACTTACTGATGAAGGCAAATTTCAAGTTAAACAGGATAATATACAATATGCAACAAATCTCATACAATAAATTAACCAAGCTTTAAACAGAATTTTTATTGCTCAAATTGAATCCCGAATTTGAAATTAATGTTAATCATTCCGATTTAGTGAAATTTTAAATTACAAAAAATTCCCCTCCTTGGTCCCTTCGTTTCTGGTTTACTAAAGTTCAGCTGCACATGACAACTGAAACAGCCATTCCTAGCTAATATATCATTAACATAACAATACCTTGATAGATGGAATTTCAGGTTTTGTATTAAAAAAATTACCAATTGTGAAATACTTAAGTTTTCTAAATTTTTTTTTACTTCAAATTAAAACATTCAATGGAGTTCATAAGTTTCCATTTAGGCAGCATCAGTTCCCAAAGATTTGATAATTTTCCTAATCTGACATCGGTCCCTGAAGACTCATAATATGAAATTTATAAACTTAATAATTCCATGTCAACTCTAGTGTTGTAAAATGCCCAGCTGCGATGAGAGAGCTTCCCTGTAAAAGCGGGCATTTTACAACAATACCATAAACCAAGAGCTTCTTATTACACAAGAGATTCAAAAGAACTGACTTAAATTCACTTTATAGTCCATGAGTCAAGTTATTAAACTATTTATAACACGATTCTTAAGTAAAATAAATTAAATTTTTGTCATATTTTGAAGTTTATGTTTTTGGTTTATTTCATTTTGCAACTTTTTTTAACTTTCGTACTAAGAAAATCCTGATTAACAAAAGCTCTTATTTATTAAAATACTTTTTAATAAAGCAAAAAAATTAATTAATGATGTAGAAATTATTGAGTTTATAAATTTAAATAATGTTTCATATATTGATGTGTAACAAAACAAAATGCAAATACTCACTGGTAAAACATTGCTCAAATCTTCATAACAATTTCTACAAATATCTCAATTCAGATGAAATCAAATTTAATAAGAAAAATTATGTTACAAATCACTAGGATCCAGGAAAGGAGTTCGCACAATTTTGGTTCTATTAATTCAATAAATTTCATTTATTGGTAGAAATATTTTCATCAGTCATTTACCTCAGTAAAGGTTAAATACTATAAGCTGAAGATTTTGTGATCTAATGGGAGAACGGGAACAAGATAAAGAGCCAGGAGAGCTAGCAGTTCTGTAATTAATATAATGCAAAAAATGTGATTATTACAGAATATTAAACTTTTATAGCCCTTATTTTTAGCAATATGATCTATTGCAATAATCATGAGTATTTTTGTGTAATGTCGGCTTCTTTAAACCTATCACAAATCTATAAAAATATTCTGAAATTTCTTTACCTACCTGCTTTATAAAGCAGTCATTTTTTGGAGGTCTTTTTACCTCCAATTACTTCTTGAAATGCAAACAGTACATTATGGCACATGCATTCAACAAAAGGTCACACGCTAATTTTCTGTACAACTTTTCTGGTTAGAGATAAAGCTTTCGATTTATATGTTTGTAGTGGATTCAAAGAATGTTTACATACCTGCCAAATTCATAACATTATGCAACATAGCTTTTTTTTTTAGTTGAAAAGAAATTTGCAAACTGCTTTATAATATCTCGCCTTTATTTCAGAACCAAGATATTAAAAAACCAGCCCCCCCAAAAAAAGATTAAGACTAAATATGCCTTATTTTATTGTTATTTTCCTAACAGAATCTAATTTTAACACTGTAGCTTTATTTCAACTATATTATAACAATACTGTTAATTATATTTATGATAATAAATTTAGGTATATTTAATAACACAGTAACTTTCACAGCAGCTTATGAATGAATAGTGCCTTCAATTCCAAATACATCTATAAACAATTTAATAAATATTTATGCATTTTGCCAGGCAACTACATGCTTTTTACAAGGATATGCATAAATAGTCATATATATATTTCATATTTTTCATTTTTGGCATGTGCAAATACTTGATTTCTATGCATTCAATATATTTTTTGAGTAAAGTAATTTGCAATATTAGCATACATCAGACTTTTTCACATGGTCACATCTTGACTACACATGGCACTTCCACTGAATTAGCAGTTGTTCCTGTGCACAATTTTATAGAAATGTGTGGTTACAAATGAAGGAAAAGTTAACTTATTAGCATATCTATCTATATATTTATTAATTTTGACAAAGATTACAGGATTTTGTGGTAATTTCATTTCTCAGTTAAGCTATGCAAAACCAAAGTGATTATTTTTTAATTGCACAAAACCAAAATGATGAGTTAAAAATGAACAACTATTAAGCCTCTCCCCTAAAAATTTAAAAAAAAAAGTACATGTTACATGTTAAAATATTATGTGAATTGCAAAATTTCACTTTTAATATTGGGAACATAACATAAAGGTGACGAATACTCTATTAAGGGTATCAAAAAGAAGTATACAAATTTTCACACTATTACCACTAAGTTCTGAGTAAATTCAGGTATAATGTGCAATATATTTTTGATATTTTGACATTTTAAAGGTACTATAAGGTAAAGGTATTTTTCATTCTTTACTCATAACATTTTTGCTAAAATCTACATTTCTGTAATCCAGTAGCTTAGAATTTTATAAAACCAATTCATAATCAAAATCGCTGTTGCAGGTTATTGAAAAATAACTGAGACGTGATTTTTGTGTCAATGTCACTAAACTATACAAACTGCTATTATCCAGCCAACAATTAATGTTTCTTTTACGTGGAAATGTCCCCACTTTTCAATTTGTGTGGAACTGCAGTGTGAGTAAATACTATCAAAGCACTGCTTCAGTCGTAGTGCGGTGCTGGTGCCTCCTTTTATTCTTACCTTATGAGAAAAACCACATCTGATCACTGGGATAATCGGAGACATGGTAACTTTAACATAGTGATAAAACAGGATAAAAGTTTGTGCAAAAATGGTTCGGAACTTCCGAGAAACAAAAAGACAAAAGAACATTTGCTCTGATGTCATGAATGACTCAACGAAGAACTAGACTCGCTTAAACATCTTCACATGATGAAATATGATCTTCCAGCACTACACAGAAGCAAAGTGTTAATCGATGAATCAACTCTCACATCGACAAGAATGAAAAAATCCTGAATGAATAAGCCAAAATTGAAGGCCATGCTGACCATTTTTGGCAGTATCAGGAGTGTTACTATGATGTAAAGGTTGCCTGTGGGTCAAACGGTTAATCAGAAATAATACAAAGAAGTCCTAACCAATTTGAGGGAAAGAGTACGGAAGAAGAGACAGGATCTAGAACGATGACACATGGATTCTGCATAAGGACAACATACCAGCCCACAATGATGCCCTATATGTGAAACAAGTTTTAGTGAACAAGTGCATTCCTTGCTCGAACATCCTCCATATTCTTCACCAGTGACTTATATATTCCCACAAGTCAAAAGCGCTTTGAAGAGAACACATTTTTAGTCTGAAGAGGTAAAAGCAAAAATGGCAGAGCTGTTGAAGAGGGTGACAAAGGATTACTTTGAACAATGAAAGGCACACATGCAGCAGTGTATATATAGGGGAGTATGTGATAAAAGTTACTTAAAAATAAATCATCTCTGACACTAGTCTCGTTATTTAACTGTCATACCTCATATGATAAATTCTCAAAATCACTTACAGAGTAAACTCGATACTACCATTCAACTAACTCTTGCAGGTGATTAACATTTTGGCTTTCGAAACCATATTTATATGGTGATGGATGGCTTCTGGAAGCTGTGGGGAAAATTGCTCTTCGAGTTTTAAGAATGCATTTTCGTAAGTTTTCCATAATCCAGTCAAGCCCTTTTTACAGTTTAAATATCGTTATGTATGCAATTCTATATAAGAAATAAACACTTATATACAAATAAGTGTGCATACAAATTGAGCTGCATAAACCTAAATGCAACTCAATAAACAAAACACAATATTACCATACATAAAATGGATTTATATTTTTGAAGAAATTTAAACAATATATATAAGCTGAGACTACTTGAGGTATAAATGAAAATGTGAAATTAATGTTCAAGTGAAGCTATTTTTACAGTAAAAACAAGCAAAAAAAATTAAGCCTATAAACACCATTATAAAACAGTACAACACAAGATAGTAAAATACCACTTTAAGAGAATTACAGACTAGAAGTTCTTTGCACAAGTACAAAATTCATCAGATTAAAGGTTCTTAAAAGTGCAAATTAAGAATGAATTTTTTTCGAGTCATGAAAAGTACAGACATCTTATTACATTGTTACAAGCATTCATTTATAATTATTAACTGATTCATAAGTTATCATTAACTCAGGGGTTCTCAACCAGAAGGAAATTTCATAGTTTCAGGCGGAATAAGGTCAAAATTTTGTTTAGCTGTCTCATATTTAATTTTAGTTCGACTGTAAAAAAAACGACTTTAATTCAGGTTTTGGTATTTATCAACATTGTCTACACTTTGTTGTTTAATCAATGAAGAATGTTAAAAAATAATATAAATCTAAACATGTGTTTTACAAGTCTTGGAAAGGAAGGGGTACAGGCGGCAAAAGATTGAGAACCCTCTGCATTAAATGACAATGATTACACGTATTTATCTATTATTACATTGTGTTTTCCCCTTTCACTTTTCTTTAGGAGCAACTACTTGCATGAGGATCACGGTAAACTCTAACTATACGTAGGTAGCCATGCTAAAAAAAGGCTGGGAGAATATTCTACTTAAATTCACAATATAGAAAGGACATAAATGAACCATATTTTTTAAATTTTGGGTTGGTTTGATTTACCGTAATTTCCGGAAGAAACGCCCCGGCGTTTACGTGTTTAGTCAGTGCAGCATTTCTACCCATAAGGAGTTTAGGTGCACTAAAAATATTTCCTATCATGGTTATTGCACATAGTTTGGATGGCCTTGTCATTGTGCATAGACTGGTGCTGTTCCCACACAAAAGACCACTCAGTTGCTCTTTGCAAACGTTATTTTGTTTACATTCTTTGCCTTGAACGGACCTACATGCCTTATTCACCCTAAACAAGATCTCAGAACAATAACATTCTTATCAGTTTGAATACTCTCTCTCCTCTGCCATTCAATGAATCTTCCAGGACCCATCATCTCCCCCACCCCTGCCTTTTCTGCAATTTTTTTCAAAGGCTCCACCTGCCTTGCAATAACGAACTCTGACATATTTCCCCTTCAGTATGAATTAATTTTTCTTGGCATTTTGAAGATACGGATCCCATCAGTTTGGGTACAAGTACTTGTTGGATAGTTTTTAAGTAAGAAGGGAGTGGAAAATTTTTGAAAATGTCATCTAAACAGCACAGAAGCTATACTGCTGGTTTTAAGCTTAATGTAATTTCATGTGCTGAACAAATTGGAAATCAAGCAGCAGCTCGAGAGTTTGAAGTGGACAAGAGATGTATTCGACGTTGGAGAACTGAAAAAGAACTTAAAAATATGCCACAACAGAAGCGAGCCAAAAGAAGTAGTATTGTAAGGTGGCCGAATCTAGAGGACGACCTTGCAAACTGGATAAAGGAGCAACGAGGAAAGGGAATGGCAATTTCAACTGTAAAAATTTGCTTACAAGCAAAATTTATAGCAAGGCGAATGAATGTAAATGATTTGAAAGGAGGCATAGCAAATTTATGAAAAGAAAAAATATTTCCGTGCGTACTAGAACAGCAGTTGGGCAACAATTACCAATGTACTGGCAGGATAAAACGGCATCTTTTCTAAAATATGTGACAGATATTATTGCCCCCCAAAAAAACTTCTTCGGTCACAGATAATAAATATGGATGAAACGCCGTTAGCTTTCGACTCTCCTGCAAACAGAACTGTTGATGAAACTGGTGCAAAAACTGTATCTGTGTTTACGACGGGGCATGAAAGAACATGTGTGTTACCTTGTGCCGCAAACGGTGACAAGTTAATGCCGTTGATCATTTTTAAATGAAAGACTATTCTGAAGGGAGATTTTCCTAATGATGTAATTATTTGTGCAAACGAGAATGGCTGGATGTGCGAAACAATCATGCATGAGTGGCTACAAGTAGTTTGGCAGTGTCGTAAGGGATCTTTTTTCCAACCAAAAGGGTTATTGATAATGAATTCCATGTGTGCTCGTTTACTTTAATTGGCGAAAACCAGACGTCAAAAATTGTCTACGACTGAAGCAATAATTCCTGGTGGTTTGAAAAAAATCTTACAATCGTTAAATCGTTTTGTCAGGTAATAAATCCTTCAAAGCTGAAGTCCGAAAGCGGTGGGAGTGTTGGATGAGTGAAGGATTGCATACATATAACAAAAGCGGTAAAATGCGTAGAGCATCTTATGAAGAAATTGCAGAGTGGGTAGGAAGTGCATGGAAATCGGTAAAAACATCATCAATAATTGCAGGGTTCAAATTGAAATTATATCCTTAGATATAGAGACTGTAAACCAAGAGGACGAATGTGACGATCTGGAAGACTTGGATTTAGATCAGGATTTACTAAATCTTTTTAATTCAGATAGTGAAGAAAGATTTTAATGGCTTCATATGATGTATAGTTTGCTGTAATTCCTTTTGTAAGTAAAATTTAAAATTTCCTTTTGTCATCCAAATTTAATATTTTGTTCTCGCAACATTTATAATATAGTCCGAGTATTACAAATATGGACTTCTTTAGTGGGTAAAAATAAGTATATATATGAAGGTAAATATATTTTCCACATTTCTTACCTTTAATTTGTTTTTGAGTTATGGTTTCATTTCATGCATTTTTCTTAACTGGTATGTCATATATCAGGACTTAGATTGAGATTTTGCATCTGTACGGCACACGGCGACGTCATGCGCAATTTAATCTATTGCGGCATTTCTGTGTAATTTTATAATTTTTTCCTAGCCATTTTTCTTGAGTGCGCCGTTTACGCTGATGCGAGCTTTCTTCCGGAAATCACGGTATTTAATTATCGCAAAGCACTTGAAAGCTATCTGCCTAAAGGAAGGGATTCCTTCGTGGAGGGCTTTCTAAAGGAAACTCACTCATACACACGTTATTCATCGGGAAAACGACCATGCAGCCAGCTCGTTTGCCTGCAATCGAACTAACAGTGTCTATCAACTTCACTGCTTGGAAGTCAAGAATTGATGTTTTAGGTGCTTTTCTTAACATTGGAGTCTAGTTTATCCAGGAAACTAAACAAACTGGTTCAATGCTTTCATTTTATATGTACTTTTTATTTTATTTTTTTTTATTTTTTAAGAAATTTATAAAAATACCCTGGCACCTGAATTTCTATCAGCACAAAGTATAAGATTCAGAATCACTGGGACTTGCTGATTCCAGATCTTAGATCACTAGTTTAAATCTAGTAAAATGGCATGTAGACATTGGGTTCACTTATTGTTTAGGTCAGACAGAAATATGCGACCCCCACAACCACTCAACATTTCTCAGATTCTGTGGTATTAACTGCATATTTCACTGTTAACACATGAGCGCTGTATGGATTTTAGGTGCTTGCCTGATGTGGTGTATTATATGTCATGCTCTACCATATATATAATAGACTAAATCGTACCATCAATCAAGAACTAAAGTAAGAAATTATCTACGACATTTAATGAATATAAAATATTTAAGTTATGTTCTTAGCCCATACTACTTAGGTACTTATTTTTACTTACAAATTCAGAATTATAAGCAAGTTTTGCAAAATTTAGTCGGAAATCAGACACCTGCTGCTCAATCAAATCAGCTCTTATTTTATCTTCCTCTGCTTCTGGTTCTGGAAGATAAAAAATAACATTGATTTTGTACACAAAATGCTAATAAGTAAAATTTATTCTTAAAAATTAACACATTTTAATTTAGAAAGTAAGACAGGAAAATGAAAGAAAAGTTTTTCAATGGGAAAATGCAAACACCAGACAAAAATTTAGACAGCTTGAGCACACAGTACTTATGGCAAGCATTTGATATGACATATGACTGAGGTTATAATTAGAATTCCATTTAAACATTTGTGCTATACAGATGCTATATACATAATATGTTTATAATTCAAAAATTTCAAGGAAAGAAGTAAGCTGAAATACAGAATTGATTGGCAAAAAATAGTTTCTGGCTGGTAAAAAAAAAAAAAAAATTAAGAAAAAAGATACTGTGTAACATTAAAGTGCCAGAGCAAGCATTAAGCCAGCCCCAATTAAAAAAGGGGGCTATGTGGTAAGAGTATAGAAGTAAGACTTGTGTACTAAATGGAAAGCTACATTGATAAGATGTGGCATGATGTGATTCTCAGCTGGTTAAGAAAACAAGATTTCAAACAAAAGGCAACTCTTTGGATCTCAATTAAGCATCCCCAATCTCAAATTCTACACGCAAGTTACATAAAACCACTGGCAAAGGAGGACAAAATAAATAAGCAAGCTTTTATATAGAAATTTCATACAATTATATCATTTTTGCATAATTTCTACATGATTTTCATTATGTATTACAGTCAACTACCAAAAATTGGCTAACCTGAAATCTGTGCAACCTCTTAAAGATGTAAACATTCAGTTTATAAATTCAAGAATCCGCAACACAGAGAATGAAATAAAGAAGAAAAGATAAGTACTTCCTAAATAATGATGACGTAATTAAAATACTAAATCATTGGTTCTATTGTAAAAGTTTTTTCCACCCTCCAATCTGCATAGAGGTAAAGAAAAGCACACGACTTCACTCAAATTCTTTCATGTTCACTACTCACATGGTTGTATTCCAAAAGCTTGTTTAGTGCTGCAATTTTGTTATTTATCGGGATTTTTGGTAAATAAAAAAAGTTTTAATATCAGCGCTTCTTAATACAATGGCAGGTAACAAGATTCTGCAACTAGATGCAACTACATGGAAAGAGGTTCCAACTGAAAACCCTCATATTAGGCAAGCGGTGGGTAGTCCAACCAAAAACAAACTTGGTGGCAAATACAAATTCCTCTGCCGAGCACCCAGGGCCCCAGTCGGGTTCAACGGACTAAAAATTCTCCTTTACCTCACTTTTGAACCCGGCCTGAGAGTTCACCACTCCCTGTTCTTGAAGTTACCTGTGAGCCATCACCTATTTGCCTGTAAGACTGACATGTCATCAGAAATGCTGCTTCCACTACACAAAATGCCTGATGCTGCACTTGACTTACAACAGAGCTTACACCTACAAACACCCACAGGTGATGTGGAACCACAAATTTGATTCGTGATTTTATACCCCATGGTCGAGTGCCTAGGTACAGATCCTAGCCAATAGCTTCACAGGTTTTCCTGCATCGATGTTGGGTAGGAATGCGAGGTAAGATACACGTTCATGATTTTACTGCTTACAGTGCTGAAAAATGTACATATGTTGCATTCACGGTAGTACAAAAAAAAAAAAAAAAAAAAAAAAAAAAAAAAAAAAGTAGAAGTTTTGCAATAGATGCAGGGAGGTGTTACTCCTTGGTTTATAGCAGAATCGTTTAGAATTGTGACATGGAGTATATATGTTATATGGGAAAATAAAGAAAAGTTGTTCAAATTTCACAGCAACAGTGATTCTAACACATGTAATCTTTGCATGAGGTGAAATTGGCAAACCTTGATGCTGTCTTATATGAGTGGTTCTGGCAGTGGCGGAGTGTACCCATTTCAGGCCTGCACCTCAGGTAAAAGTTTCACGCTGCTTTTAAAATAGAGGAGATGTGCAATTTCTGCAGCAGAAAGCAGAGACATGGTAAATATTAGCCCTGAACAGATTTTTAATATGGATGAGTTGACTTTTTTGTGGCCCTTTTTTCGCCCATAAATACTACATAATTGACCCAACCAATCGATCAGGGCATCATAAAAATTGGAATTTCTGAAAAAAAAAAAAAAAAAATCTTAAGAGACTTCTCTTTCTCTCTGTGATTATAAAAAAATTTCATCATGAAAGACTGCACTATTTGTTAGCAGAATCATGGAATTCTTTTCCCAAACAATTTTTAATGGCTGGTGTAGTGCACGGCCATCTTCTCTGTTTACTGAAATTGAGCGATGATGGTGAATTTTCTGGTTTTAGGGTCAATGCAGCAAAGGTTAAAGCAAGAGAACTCCTGCATTTGAAAGAAAGAACAAATGATGAAGCTTCGCAAGAAAATATCATGTATCCAGATGAGCCAACACTGGCATATCAGATGACCGATGATGAAATTGGCTCAGTTTTGAACTTAACACAGCAAGAAAAAGATTCTGACAGATTAGTGTATTTGAAAGTGAGAAAATATCTTTTAATAAAGGTCTGGAACATGGTAAAAAATGCCTAAAAATTTTGAAACAAAAGAGTTGGCACACCTCTACCAGAAAAATGTCTTAAACGCATAAACAAAAAGAAACATTTTTATGTTTTATTAATGTCCCTTATTTTCATGTCTTTATCATGCATGTCCTTATTTTTGTGTACACATACATACAAAATACAAAAAGAAACTAATTTACAATGCTGAATTTTACTACATTTACGGATCTCTTTGTGCATTAAATTTCTATGCATTTTACGTCTTATTTTTTTTCACATTACTCCTTTTACATCTATTTTTTGATCTTGTTGCTGTACCAGCTTAACATATTTTCTTGAGGCACTCCTTTACCTTATATACTTCAGGTTTGGTTTGGTTTATTAGATTACGGCAAAGCACTCTAGGGCTATCTGCCTTAAGGGAGGGATGTCTTCATGGACGACTTTTTAAAGGAAACTGGCTCGTATACACGTTACACATGTGGAAAACACGAAAACAGCCATGCAGCCAGCCTGTTCTTGGGATTCGAACCTCGGACCAAACTACCAGTGTAGATGTGGGCCTTACATACTTCAGATAAATTTTCCTTACTGTCATTCACCTATGCCTTTTCTACACTCTTCTCTGAAATCAAAATATATTATTTTTCAGCAGAAATATATCCTTAGGATCTGGTATTTAGGTGTTGCATCATTCTCACATCGATGAGATGTTACAAACACATTTACCTGTTCAGTCTTCATCTTATAATTACATGCAATGAATGCGAGTTAAAAGTTTCTTCCTTACAGCTGTCAGTAATTACTACTTATAGGTTTATTGGATTTGGTATTAACTTTTAATTAATTGCAAAAAACTCAAAGCAGGAAACTCACCAACATCAGTGCCCGGAAAAAAATAATGCTTATGACACTAAATGCATGCTTGTGGAGGCATACATTTTGTAACAAAACACATGTATTAAAATCTGTCATGTGAAAAAAATTTTCATACAAAAATGCATTTTGCTCCAAATGAACCATAGCACTGTCACTAAAAAACATATTTTAATACCTTCTGCCAAACCCAAATCATTCTAATCTTAAATTCAATCAGCTGATTTAATCATAACTTTAGCCAAAGATCTGAAAGTAATTTTATGTGTTGCACAACACCTGGCATGCAAAACAGCTGCAATTCATTTTGGCATGGATGCCACTCATTTTTGTTAGATGACTGGAGACAGGTACCAAATGTATGAACAGCAGTCATGAAAAGTCAATATATTTCAACCTCGTGTTGTTTGAGTTCTGAACTGCCACTGCATCACATCCCAAATGTCTTTATAGAGTTAAGATCTAGCAAGTTACATGGCTAGGACATTAGTTGAAATTCATCTTTATGCTCCTTGAATCACTCCAACACAATTCGAGCCTCGTGAAATGAGGCTTGACCTGTTAGATTCCATTTCCAGTCGGGAAGATAGATGCCATGTAAGGGTGCAATTGATCTGCAATTATGTTCAGATAGTCTGCAGATTTCGTGTTCTGTTCCACCACAAATAAGGATGTCACAGCCACCCATGAGAACATCCTGCAAAACATAATACCACCATCCTGTGTACAGGCAGGGAACAACTGTCTGTCTGGAAGATGCACACCCTGACATGACAATTGATGTGATGCATCATGATTCATCAAACCAGGCAACTTTCTTCCACTTACCCATGGTTTAGTCTCAATTTTTCCAATCCCACTGCAGGCGTAGTTGACGATTATCCTTGGTCAACAGAAGGACACGAACAAGCTGTGTAATGTACATCCCATATTTAACAGTGTTCGCTGAACTGTCTGTTCTGAAACACTTGCACTTGGACCTGCACTGTATTAGGCTGTCAGATGTGCCAATGTCTGGAGCCAATTTTTCTGTACCAAGCAGGACAGTCTCCAATGGCCTTTTGATTTGATGACCTATGGACTTGTGATACCTTGGTGTCTATTGCGGGTTTCATAGTCATTTACACACTTTGCATAAATACTAGCAATGGCAGATTGTTAAAATGCTAACAGTAGCACAGTTTCAGATATACTTGTTCCAAGTCTTTAGGCCATTACAACCTATCCCCCATTAAATTTGCTTAAATCAGTAGTCACTTGCAAAAGTACAAGAATGATTCTCTACCTTCTCCAGAAGCAGTTAAATATCATTTCCACTACATCACATGCCCCACATGTCATCCAGACAAGTTCACTGAAAAATGTGGAGATGGTCAGATTGTTTTGGCTCATCAGTGTATATTAAGGACAATCCTTTATAGTGTGACATACAATAGATCTACTTGTGAAATCTTAAGAATTTCAAGCAAACTTATTTAAAAAAAAATTAATAGTCAAAACATATTTTATAAAACATCTACAAAATTTATAATCGATAAAAAATCTAAACATACCTAGCTTGTGCTTACGAGCTAAATAGCGCATAATTGTAATGCTCTGGGTAAGCTTTACATCACCATCAATGTAATAGGGTAGCTGGAAAGTTATAAAAAGAAAAATTGAGAATTAAAAAATAATAAAGATAACTGAACACATTATATATTTTCTAAAATTCCATCGCACCCACCAAATTGGGAATGTCAGAAAAGAATTTTTCATTTTGTAATAAAATTAAATTTCTGTAAGTTAAGTCCACAAATTTAACTTTGATACCAACCCACAACTGCCAATCTTGAAACCTAGAAAATTTTTGCAAGAAAACTGTAAGGTTTTGATGTTGTGTGATGACATGATACCATTTCAAAAGAACTCCAAACTGACTTTGATTCACTTTTATAATACATTGTTTAGGTTAATGAACTACCTGCAATTCAATTGTGACATAAAACACATAAGAGTAAACATTTTTAGAATGACTTCAGAGCCATATAATTACTGTTTGAAATGTAAAACAATATCTTTTTTTTTTAATGTTTGATCTGACAGCCTTTTTTTCTAGTCTTTTAAGTCTGCATCATGATTTTTACAATGGGCTTTTTGTAAAATTTCTATGGGTATTATTTCTATTTCTCTTCACTGCTTTCCAGAGTCCATCAACTATCATGGGGGTTACACTTACCTCTTTTCAAGAGACCCAAGGCACAATAGTACATAGGCGAAATGGCAGGGGATTTTGCAGGAATATGTTGGAAATGTATATGTGCAATATTTGTATCAGTCTTCAGTTTTTCAAGGAATACAGTACTTTTTGAATTATGACTCGTAGCTTTGTCTTGATGAAGTTTTACTTTTTGAAAGTGTTTGAGATAAAGAAATGGAATATCTTCCCTAGACTTGGCGATAAATGAAACAACTTTGTGATAATACAAGGGATACCCTTCAGTCCACTTTAACCACTTTATTTTTTTTCCCCTTCAGATGACAGGGAGCAAAACATTAATTTAAGTTTGATACACTGATGGTTAAAGAGTTCCTATTGAAAATCATTTTCACATCTAATTATTTTTTGCAGTATATTACCACATTATAAACAATGATAAAACAAATACATAGTATTAATGCTCTCCTTCTTAAGGTCCCCTTTTTTGTTACAGTGCTTATGGGAGTAAATGTACTTTATAGATATTGTATAGTCAGTAAGTGTGATTTATAATAGATAGGTACATATATCCAAAATATAAATTTCACAGAACCATGAATTGCTATAGAATAAAAAAATTATTCTAAATTATAAAAATTTCATCAATCATCTTACTCTCAAAAGTGAAATGCAGACATTTAACTGCAAGTTAGATAAGAGACAAAGCATTCAATTAACAAAATATGGCCCTTACTACACACACTGGCCAATGCATTAGAAACCCAAGAATATTTTATTGGACCACCTTTTGAACTGACAACTACTCTGATTCATTTGGGCATTGAGTCTACATGCTTCTGCAATGTATTTATGTCCAAAGAATACCATGCATTGGCTATGCGGCATTTTAGATCTTGTAAATTAGATGGAAGAGGAGAGTGCTGTCGGATGCATTTTCCCACCTTATCCTACACATTTTCTATGGGGTTAAGATCTGGGCAACGCAGTGGCCAGGGAAGGTGTTACAAGTCCGAGTGATGTTCAGCGAACCAATTTTTAACACTTCTGGTACAATGTATACTTACATTTTCGTCCATGAAGTATCCGTCACCATCAGAATAAAAGTGCAACACTGCAGGGTGCACTTGATCTGCCAGTATATCTAGGTATCTCATGGCTGTTTGTTTACCCTCGAGGAATGCCAGGGCATCACTTCCATGCCAGCAGAACATGCCCTGTATTATGATACTCCCACCACACCCTTGCACAGTCCGAGTAAGGCAAGATGGATTCATGGGGTTCTCACCAAATTTGATCTCTTACATTAGTGCAAAATAAGGTATAACGTGATTTATAAAACAATACTCATTTCCAACCCTCAGATGTCCAGTGTCTTCTTTCGATACTACTGCAAATGAATTCTTGCATGTTGGGCAGAACTGAGTGGTTTTCTCACAGTTACACGACTATGCATTATCCTCAATGTATGGTTCGAGCTGAAATCTTGGGAAGAGCCTTGGTTGATGATCTATGCAAGTTAGCCCTTTGACAGGCGGTGGGTCAGGCGTTCCACCTTTTTTTTTTATCAGTTTCTATTTCCCAGATGAAAGCCGCAAAATTCTATTTCAAAGCCATACAATTACGTCTTTTAGTTCTATAAATGTATAACAGATGGCAGCACTAGCATTCATCCATGGAAATAATGTAAAATAAAAATTCTCTGCAGGTCTAATTTTGAAGCAGTTTTTTTTAAATTTCTAATGCAATTTAAATCATCTGAATAACAACTTTTGGTGTTAGAATGAATAAATTCACATGAAAGTTTCTTTTTCTAAAAACATTATTATTTGAATTCACATATATTAATTAAGAATGGTTAAAATTAAAAGGTCAGACCAACTACGTCCCACCGCGCATGTAGGAATTGCTGCTACTAGATGGCAGCACTGTTCAAATATTTTTTAATTTAAGTACCTTATATGTTGATAATGCAAGTTTATATTTTTTAATAAATTGTAATAATGTTAAAACTTGAAAAATATCTAGCATTTTTTACGAAAGAAATGAAAATATCTCCATAACATGAAATGTCATTGAATACCGAATGGCTATGTAAGTGTGATTCACCATAGAAAAATATCCTAAGCAGAGGAAAGAAAAATGAAATGTAAATCATGATGGCCTTCTAAATATCTTCCTTTTCAAACCTATAGCGAATAAAGTACTGAAGGGAAAATCTTTTCTGTTTCAAATATATTATGAAAGCATTAAAAAATATCTAAAAAGTCATACAGAGATTGATTTTTTTTAATTATGTAATTTTTTTGAAAAAATTTTTTTTGCGAATACGATCAATATTTTCTAGATAATTATTCAAAAACTTTTTTATATCTTTCTTTTTCATTTGGTTGCTAAAACTAGCACTTTAGATAAGCATGCTAAGAGAATTTACACTGTGGCAAAGATGCCATTTTACTGCTCTAGGTGCGCTGTGGGATAAGCAGTATCCCGTCATGTCATGTACCTTAAAGGTTTACCTGTTTTTTTTGGGGGGTATGAAATAACATTATATTAGGGGCTAGTTATCTATGTATTAAGTTATTTTTCCCCCAAAAAAATTATGCACTAAACCTCAAAGGGTTAATGCACAGTAGAATCACTGTTCTGCCGTACAATTCATCAGAGACGTCACCAATCACTCTCTTAGAAAATTCTGCTCAAACTGCAGTTACGTCTTCTACAGAAGGACTGTGGATTCTGATTCCAACTTTTGAAAACCTTTGATATGGCTGCTCTTGAGAACCCAGAGAGATTTGCTGTCTTCGAAATCAAGGTCCCTACTAAATGGGCACCAACAAAAAGGCCTTTTTTCAAAGAGTGAAACATCTGTCGTTTTTCCCATTTTACTTCATTTATCATGAAAAGCACTCTTATACCTTACTTACACTAGCATTCTAACCACATGTAATACACATCATTAAAAAAAATTGCATACTTCATCCCTAGTACACATTCACATGAAAATCTCAAAGGTTTCTAATTCATTGGCCAGTGTGTCTAATATATAGGTATATTATAACTACTAATATAAAGTTCTATAACTGAAATTTGAATTATTGGAAAACAGGATATTTTAGCCCTAGTTTCTAATCTTAATGCCAGGAAATTTTCCATAAATGCTATTATTGAAAATCTATTCCTATCCATCTTGTGAACATTATAAACAAATCAGTTATACTAAGAATTAAAAACTCATGATCTATAAATAACAGGCTTTTTTTTTTTTCCCAATATTTACCGTAAGAATTCCAAATTATTGTGGAATTAACACCCCTCCTGACTAGAAATTTACCTAAAACGTTTGCAGAAATTCACAATCCAATAAATTTAACAATAAAAAGTGCTAAGAAAAACTAAACTTCAGTATCAGCTGGAACATTAATAACACAGTGTACATATATATATATAAATTGGTGCCGTGTTGAAATTTCGAAGAATTAAAGATTACATAAAATTAGGCAAATCAAAAACCTTGTGTTTCACATAGATTTTAGTCAAGATCCTACAGATGAATTATAAAAGTGTCTGGAAAGACGAGTTAACTTCATTGACTAAACAAGATAAATGTCTGTGAATATGAAAAGTTTCAAGAAAATCCAATTCACCAATGGAAAAAGCTTTCTGGGTAACTTTTTTTACAAAAATAATTCAAATTATGATTAAATTTGTAACTGTAATTAGCTATTGAAGATTTGTTAATTTTGCCTTTTCAGACATAAGATTTGTGTTTTCGATGCGAAACACGCTTTTAGTTTTCGCTGGAGGTATTGAAATGAAGGAACTACTCTGATATGCGCCCTCAAGTCGCCAAACATATTTGGCGAGAAATTCCACGGGCGAGAAATTATCTAAATTTTTTGTCTACATTTCGAACTTTAAGCCTAAAATGTCTCCAAAAACCCCGTTTTGAACACACAATTTAAGCTAAAAATCCGAAACAAAAACAAAAATTTAGATAGCAAAACCATAAAGTTTCTAACCAAAATGATTTGACATGAGTCCATGTACACAGCGATATGTTTCAACTTAAAAAAAACATCTACGAATGGCACAATCTAGGCAACGAACAAATCTACGAACTACACATGCCTCCTTTAATAAATTAACAACAATAAATTTCAAAGAATAACATGTACACAGCATCCTGTTTAAACTTAAAAAAAAAAAAAAAAATCTACGAATTGCACAATTTAGGCAACAAACAGTAAATTGTGCAATGGATATGGCCACAACGATATTTCCTTTTGCCGAACTTCAATTCAACAACTTCCACCATTTTATCTTTCCCCCAACTTCTCAGACACAAAGCATGACGCGAACCAACAAACTCCAGTAAAAGATTTTTTAACGTCAACAGGGTTGCCATACAACACGCAATCGCTCCAAAAACCAGCACAGAACACATATCGCCACATTTGGTGAAATTAGGGCGTATATCAGAGTTGTACCGAAATGAATTTCACGCAGAGTGTCCTTAAAGGAGCTACACTTCCGACATACTTCATCCACACTGCCCACCTCCGGCAGGATAAGGCAGTGTAGCAGGACCTGGGGAGAATAATCAGTAGAAGCCACACATTTGAGAAAGCTGAAGCCAGAAGTCAAGAGTCAACATTAGAAATTTTTACCATTATAGTGAAACAGCTTTTGAATAAAAAATTTCATGCAATTTGACCACATTAATTGTGTAAATTAATGTACCAATTTAGCACAAACATGAATGGAAAATTCTTGTTCTTTTTGTGCTGTATTCAAGAAAGTGTATTTCTATAAAGCAAATTTTAAAGTTTTGTACAATTAGTATATCGAATATTAATTTTTCAGACAGAAAAACAAACCAATTTTTATGATTAGTTCATGAATTTTTTATAAATGTTAAACCAATTTAGTAGGAATAAACTGAAAAATGAAAGAAGACATAGCAATGATTTGATTTTTAAAATATTTATAATTTTTTAAATTAAACTTTAAAATAGAATTAATTTTTCAATACAATTAATTAGAGGGCCAACAGATAAAGTGAATCTTAAATCATTTCATTACTGCATTTAATAGTGTCTCGAACACTTAGACACATTTAGTTAATTTCCAGTGCAAGCTACAAATATACTGCAACATTAAAAGTTTGAAGAGAACAAAACTCGGCCAGAAAAATACGATTACGGGGCAAGTCTTTTAACATTGAAGTAAATGGCTATCTTAGTAAATTGGCGAGATATCACCAAGCTGGTGATGGTTTCAGCTTAGCTGCTAAATTTGGTGAGAAACTGCCAAAAGTCGCCAAACTTAGCAACTATTTGGATCTTGTTCCTGTATAACTGACTGATCAATGTAAGCAACTGCAATCGTATCCAGAAAAGGAAGGTACTGCAAATTCTTCAGAAACTGGAGGAAAATTACTGGACTTTTTTTTAGTTCACAGTCGACTACAAAGTAGTAAGTTATCTGCAAGCTTAGCTTTTTAGAGGCACTCTGCATTGTTTGTAACCTGAAGTGGTATTTACTAACTACGCTGGGGAAGAGCTGGATGAGTGTTTCTGTGGAAAGTTCGAGGAGAAGTGTTTCATTTGCTAAAATAAATTTTATAAAGCTATCAACAGTTCTGTGGGCATTCAATTTATTACGAACTCAAACACACATAACAATATTCATAGTGCCATTTATTCAACAGGACTTGATACATCATCAATGCAGCGTGTTGTTTAATGTATTTGTTATTTCAGCTATCAGGATAGCAGTTATCAGTTCTAAATGCAGTATTTCTACAACAAGTCTCAGAATTGTTAAACAGTTTGAAAGTCCTAGAAATTACAACATAGATAATTATAAAATTGAAAGGAACTACTTTTATATGCGCCCTCAGGTCGCCAAATGCAGCGAGAAACTCCATGGTGCCGTATTACTATGTAAATTTTTTGTTTACATTTCGAACTAAATAACTAAGCTTAAAATGTCTCCAAAAACGCAGTTTCTGCATGTACAAAAAACACATTTTGAACACACAATTTCAGCTAAAAATCCGAAACAAAAGCAAAAAATTTAGATAGCAAAAACATAAAGTTTCTAACCAAACATATTTGACAAGAATCCATGTACGCAGCGATATGTTTTAACTTTAAAAAAAATCTACGAATTGCACAATCTAGGCAACAAACGAATCTACGAACTATGCACACCTTGCTTTAATAAATTAACATAACAATAAATTTCAAAGAATACCATGACCACAGCATCCTGTTTAAAAAAAAAAAATCAACGAATTACACAATCTAGGCATTGCACCTAAATCAACAAAATAAACTAACTAAAATTACAAATAATTCAAAAAACAACAGAAATTTATAGTATAAAAACAATGAGCATATCATTCTACAAAATAAAATTAGTACAATAAAATGCACTTACCATAATACATTCGTTAATAAAATTTCGTCAGTCACACAATAACCGTTAACAAAAGTGCCACGATTTTGCTATATCAAATGTCTTTCAGAGATTCAAAATTTTGAAAGTAACGACAAAAACTTCCTCCAAAGTTAACTTACTGCACGAAAACCAAGATCCAAGTCTTAAACTCCGCTGACAACCGCATACTTTACCAGCAAGCATTTAACTGTAAATCCACACAAGAACTATAAGAAATGCATTTCTTCATCCGAGTTCTCATTGCAGCTTCGCATTTCGGACTCCGTTATAAAAGTCCCACAGAAATTCCAAAAATACACTTCGTTTCATAAACACAGCCGTAAACAAAAGACACGTTAACAACTCCAACATCGTACCTTTTAAGCCTTTCTGTCACACTACCTTTTAAAGTCGAAGTTTTGATTAAAAAAAAGATAGGCAGTCTAATTAGGCCTAGAAGAGTACACAAGTAAAATTTTGTGAAGATAGCACTTATCGTTTTAATTCTGTGGGCACACTGATTGAATAGAGCTACGGAAAGAGTGCAGAAACGAGCATTGTTGTCAATGAAGTGACTGATGAAATGCGGAGAAACAAAGAATACAGACCTCAGTTGTCCTAGATTATCGGTGATCCCGGTCTGGGCACACTGTTTGATTTTAAGCAAGATTTCAAGGTAAAAATTTAAAACTAATATAGAATAAGGAGATTAGCATACAGCCCCAAAAAAATAACATAGAAATTTCTTTTCAAATAATTCCTTTTAAACCCAAAAGCAATCTGGAAGATTTTTTTAAAAAATGAGGATCTTGAAAAACTAAACATGGCTAAAATATATAGACTGGTTTGTGTCCATATATTTTAGCCATGTTAAATTTTTAGGTGTGTCCAGACGGGACACACTGTGCCGTAAAGGGTTAATACTAAATTTACTTTCCCCACAATCTAAAATACGCCACTGAAATCTTCCCACCACGTCTATCATTGCAACATAGGCCATTACGCCTATGCACGACACGAACCGATGAGCAATTAAACCACTGCAGCAAGAGTTGGGTTTCAACGTCAAAAGGGTTGCCATACAACAACATCGTTCGCAAAATCATTGCAATTGCGCCAAAAACCAGTGCAGAATATATATCGCCACATTTGGTGATCTTAGGGCGAATATAACAGTACAGCCAAATGAAAATACTGACTTACCTATCATAGCATTTGTTTCAGGTTGATTTGCAGTTTAAAAAATATACAGTACAAAGTCTTTAATCCGGACGTCCATAATTCGGAATGGTCTATCATCCGGACCTCAAACCTACAAACTTTCTGCGCAGGCTAAAATGATCTAATTATCCATTTCAGTTAATGATGCAGATGGCATTGTTCCTTAATCTTCCAATTAGATCCGGCTTATTACTTTTTGCAGACAGAGCAATTTTATAAAAAGTAAGCTTGAACTTTCGATTATGTCAAAGTTTCCGATTCCGGAGCTGCCAAAGAATCTACAAAGCGAAAGCATGTTTCGATGTCCATCAAACAAAAAGTGGAATTGCTGCAAAAAATGGATAAAGGCATGAAGAAAGTGACAGAGAGGTTAGTGAAAACGAAAAAATTTTGATTGACAAATTAGTCGGTATTCTCGACACAGCAATTACAGCACTTGAACAGCGGAACTTGGTAACTGAACAAGAAATTATGATGCCTGTTTGTATAATTAAAGAGAAAGCATTAGCACATAAAACGAAGCAACTTAAGCAACTTACATTGAAAGAGATGTTTAATAAAGTAAACAAATAAATATTAAGCTTTTTTTGTAAATTTTGATACCCTTTAGATCTTAATTGTTCTTTATTTCATAAATTACAGTTTCATATTTTTAATTTTATAATTTCTGCATGCCATCTTACCAGATTTACACTGAGGATCTATAATCCGGAATCGTCGAAGTCCCGACGAGTCAGGATTAACGACTTTTGACTGTATATAGTATTATTCCAACATAGGTATGTTGACACAAAATCGGACTTTTTCTGAAATAACACATCAATTTTTTCCATGTTTCGATTCTATAATTTGGGAAAAACCCTAATTATGGAAACGCCGAAGTCCCAACGAGTCCGGATTAAAGACTTTGTACTGTATTAATTATGACAAGAACAATCGTTTGGCCAAAATATACTGTATACAGGACCCCCAAAAAAGCACGACTGAGACTGGCTAGTAAGTTTTAATCTTAATTGTAGCAAAATACACAAGAAAACATGATTGAATTTTGTGCTGTTAATAGTTTTTATTGAACTTAGCATGTTAAATGAATCATTATTCTAAAAAATGACTTTCCTTTTTGGTTACTTTCAACTTATTTTAATCAAGACAACACTTTAAACATATGCATTCGTAATAATTTAAAAGGAATAAAATTACTGTATCAAAAGAAAAAAATCCAAACTATTCAACTATGTATTCAACAACAAATTTTAAACAGAATAAAACTCTTAAATAATATCAAAAGCTTTAAAAAAATGGACCATATACATACATTTGGAAAATCCAAGCCAAGTGTGTGCTTTTCTTTAAGCCAAGCACTACGATCATAGTCAGGAGCCGGGCCATAAGCATACTTCTTATCTTCAAATTCTGATTCTGTGTATGCTAGCAACAAACGAATAGGCTGTGCCAACTGAAAACAAACATACACCAAATTGCATAAATTCACACTATGTTTTTAATAACACTATGAAATAACACAATAAATTTACTTGACACACATAGAACGGTAAAATATGAAATTAAATTCCAAATGCACGAGAAAAGATATTTCGGTGCTACTTTGGTAGATGGTTGCACAGATTTTGGCAGTTTTTCTTTTGGCGAGTAATACGACTTATGGTAAACCCATTGCTGGATAAGTTATTTATGGTAACCGATACTTTGTTGACATTTATTTAAAAATAATGCGTGTTATTATGCATAAATTCCGTGTTTTAAATATTATTTATGGCTTCTAAATATTAAAAATCAATTTAATTTTGCATTTTCTTTGAAATAAAAATTTTATTCTTTATCATATTATGAAATTTTATGCTGTGGATGATGTAATCAGTGACGTCACCTTACTTTAAAAGTAATGGTTTTAAACATCTATAAATTTAATCTAATGTTTTTTAAACATTATTTATGGCTGTTAATATTAAAATACAAAATTTTGCATTTCTTTTTTAAAATGATTTTATTATGTATGATTATTTAAATAATTTTAATTCTAGGCGTGATATAATCAGCTCTCTGATTGGTTTTAGAATATTTGTGCATTAAAGAGCTGTAATCAGCTCCCCGATAGGTTGCTGAAAATTTGTGCATTACCGCGCCATTTTAAAATTTAATTGATATCTTCGAATTCCTTCAAAGATGAATGTTGTTTTTGATAAGTACCAAGAATTTTTGGTTTCGGAATCAAAAAATTGTCCTTTGAGACCTTATTTTCGCCAGCCTGGCTTTCCTAATCAAAGATTTATTTATAAATTCTTACAAGGGTCAGAGGAAATTTATTTTAAATTTTTGAAGGAAACGTCGCTAATTGTTTCTTCAATGAAGTGCGAAAATGTAGACCACAGATGAAGACCGTAAGAAGAGCAGATTCTGAGACGGCCGTATATGATATTGTGGTCACGTTGGAAGATATAACCGCTGTAACGGTAAGAAAATTATTAGACATTCCTCCTTTTTTACCAACAATAAACTAATTGCTGTCATTTTAGCTTAGTGTACGAAGCGTTCTTATTTACTTATTTTAAAGTATTTAATTTAAGTAATATTTTAATTCTTTTAAACATTGGTATGATGGTTTTTAATTCGATATTCAATTTACGTAATATTTTAATCCAATTAAACGTTGGCGCAATGTTTTTATAGTGGTATTTTTATTCTATTTCTATGCTATATGAAAGTAATGATAATCTTACTTTAGTATTTTATACTCATAGTAAATGTGGTTGATCTTTACAATATGGTAACTGGTAGTTTGGCGACATTTTGGAGGCGATAAAGGTCACTACCTGGGACTTTGGTAATAATGTGAGCAGTACTCAGTTCCGATTACGCATTATTTTGCGTGAGGGAAATGAGAGATGATGGGATATGTCGTGATATTAATGGACGAATTACGGTTCTTTAATCGGAAAAGGGGGGAAATCGGGAAAAAATGTGGAAATTTTGTATTTAGTTCTATTCTGTGTTGTGTGAAACAGTGTTGTTTAATTTTTGGATCCCATGGCCCTAACTAAAGTGAATTCGAAATGGGTATTTAGGCATTGTGATAAAGAGAAGTTTGCTTTTTATTTAGCGGAGGAAGTATGGAGGAAAAATTCGGCAGAAAAAATCTTTCAATAATTTTATTGAATGAATTAGAAAGTGTATCCGCCACGTAATCAAGATTCTGAAGAAGATTAGGTAAGTTAGTATTTTTAATTATTTGAGGATATTATTTTTATGCATTGTTCTAAATGTAAGGTGGAAAGGAATTGGTATTATTGGAAAATTGTTATTAGCAATGATTTAGTTTAAGTAATTAGGATTGTAAGGTAATTTTTATTAATTTAATGTACTGTGCTCATTTATATTTTAAGTAGTGTTTTTGAATTTAATTATATTTTAATGAAATGATAGTTATTTGTGAATTTTATGTTTGTAGGAATTTGGTATACGTTTTAGTTGAAGTAAACGTGCATGGAAATAATTTAAATATCTGACACTAAGTATTTGTAATGGTTGCGGTATGAATTCGTTGGTGATGTTTATAATATAATCGATGATTTAGAGGTAAAAGTTTTTGGATATTTTATTTATTTTATATGTGGAAATGTTCATATTTGGAAACGGTAAATACTTTTTCGCGATCAGGTAATTTCATATATGTTCTTTTTACCGGGTTTAAAGATTGAGAAAATTGTCATGTATTTTCGTGAAATTTTTCTTATTTATGAGAAAAAAGCAGTGTACATGGATATAGCGAAGAGTGTGCGCAATGCCATTTTTGTGCAATTCTGGGATGTTTTTTTAAGTAAAAATAAGTCGGCGTGTACATGGTTTATGTGTATGTGTTATTTTGAAAAACGCGTAAGGAGTATGGTATTGTGCACTTTTTTCCCAATTTTGCAGTGAATATTTGTCATGATTAAGCAGTTTTGTTTGATAAAATTTCTAGCATAAGTGTAATTCGGCTAGTAGATTGTTGGAAGAAGTGTTCAGTAGATAAAAAGAAAAGAAACATGTCTTTACTTCGTGAAGACAAAATGGCGGCAGGGAAAAAAAATAGAGGGTTGCTGTAGGAGAGTTGGTTGCCAAATTTTTGCCAAAAAATCGCCAAGTTACCATAATGTAAAGATCAACCATAAATGTATTTATTTACACTTGCCTGCCATCTTAAAAAATGACATTTTCAACAAAAAAATTAATCCATTATTTCTAACGATATTTATTTATTTTTTTTTTTAAAGTTTCGAATACTTTACTATGCGTAAAAACAGCGTTTTTCAAGATGGCTGACGTTTGTAGAAATCGCGCCAACGTAAATCTCCAAAAATCCGTGCAACCTTTTACCAAAGTAGCACCGATATTTCTCAGAGATTTCACTACTGAAAGAGTTGAAAATACATAAAAAGCATGTTAGAACATAAAAACTGAACTTAATGACTTCTACCTGTTCAAATTTTAGTTTCGGTTTCTTTTAAATTCACACCTACATAAATAGACTGAAACTCTTTTCTTAAGAAACTATACACAAAATTGGCTCTTGTAATTTAAATCAATTAATTCAAACAAATGTGACATATGCTGTCTGCCTGTAAGCTTTGTCATTTTGCAGATAAAACACAAAATTTAAATGAAGAAATTTATACCATGATTAAAAACAGTTAAAGTGCAGAATCACCCACTTATTTGCTTGGTGCTATTTACAAGAGTAAGAAGAATTAAAGTTTTGTCAATTTTTGATTTTTTAAGTGAAAATAGATCGATGTGTACATGGATAAAGTCAAGGGAGTACACAATGCCATTTTTGTGCAATTCTTGGATGTATTTCAAATGAAAATAGGTCGATGTGTACCTGGATACCGAGTATGTGCAATCTTAAAAACATGCCAAGTAGTGGGCGATTCTGCACTTTCACCATTAAAAACGGTACTAAAATGTAAAAAGTTCTTAAAACTTAAATAAAAACATTAAAAAACTTTTCAAAAGAATGTGCATTAAAACTTTAGTCACAATGATGCTCCATGCAAAGTAATACAAGATTGATTAGTTAGTTGAAATTATTAAATTAGCAATTATAAACCAAAATGATATTATTTTTGGTAAAAAGTTTACAAATGGGTGCCCCTTCTTTCTTGACGATTCTTTTCTGGCGCCAAGATCGGCGCTTGGAAGGCACAATATCAAGATGGTCGCTAAACAAAACCAAAACAAGAAGTCCAAGAATTGCACAAACTCTGTGTTTATGTACACATCGATCTGTTTTCACTTAAAAAAACATCCTAGAATTTCACAAACTAGGCATTGCACACTGCCTTAAATTTGTCCATGTACACATCAATCTATTTTAATTTAAATAAAATCAGGAAGCTAAAACAAAGTTAAAACTACCATGGTAAACAGAAGTGCAGTTTCTTCTCCAAAATTAAAAAAAAAAAAAAAAAAAAAAAAAAAAAATTTGCGCTAATCGAAGGGGCACCTAATTCTACGCTAGAGCCATTTTTTTTTTTTTTTTTTTTTTTTGCATGAATACGCTGAAATCGGTGCAGTTCGTAAGGAAGGCAAGTCCTACACATATTACAAGATGTAAATAATGACACTGCGGGATTTGGAGACATTATTATGATGAGCATTAAACGGGTCATTTTGGTGCGGGGGACAGTTTTCAAAATCGCACCAAAGCCATACCATGTACTAGGATTTTACCATAAACACAATAAAGCCCGCTGCTTGGTGCGTTTTTATGAATTGCACATACACGGTATCCATGTAGACGTCGACCTATTTTCACTTAAAAAGTCAAAGAAAATTGACAAAAATCCAATTCTTCTTACTCATGTAAAAAGCGCCAAACAAATAAGTGGGCGATTCTGTACTTTAGCCAAATATAGTGGATAATGTTTTATTATGCTTTTTATGTCATTTTACGGAAGTTTACAGATGATAAATTGATATGCTACCTTTTAAATTTTTCTGATACCTCAGTTTCTATCAGGGTTGACTCTTAACAAGTTCTCCTATTTTTTAGATTTAGAAGATTAGCTCATAATTTATACCACTTAGCACATTGAATGACTTGGGAGACATTAATAATAAAATTGTACGATTGTATATAAGCAGACCTCAACTATTCAATAAGGTAAAACATCGGAAGAAAAATTCGAAATATTAAGGGACATGAGTGCAGGCACTTAAATTCATCTTTAAGAGCATTTAGCGCCATTTTATACAGCCATCTAGTGCGCTCTGGCATACATAAGCATAAAGTCAAAGAATTTACTTTTGTAAAGAACGCTCAATGTGCATTTTTCAGTAGTATAATTACACCTCTGAAAATAGAATAAAATGCAATTTAACATATTAATTTAGAAGGGCGATGATACCAGAGATAACTTACTAAGCCTAACATACTTCACAACGAAAAGAATGACGAATAATTGTAACGGTTACTCAAATGAGCTAAATAACATATGAATGATAATAAGAACTCACTCCTCGAATATTCCAGTATCCTAACACAGGAGCCATTTCAGATCAGCGTTTAAATGGTTACAATCGGGTTTTCAAGACACCGCTCAAGAAATTTCTTAACCGGTACTAGCAGGCAAAAAAGGTAACTGTGTTATTGCCAATACCAAACTACCAAATATAAAATATTCATTTCCAGCTTTTGGAAAGCCACTAGTAAAAATCCGATATTCAGTCATAATATAAACACACCCGATGAAAGCAATAATTTAACTAGCTATTCATAATGATGCATCAAATTCAATAAAAGTGACATATTTTTTCAATATTTTATTTTGCGAAGCTTTCAAATCAATGCCCCTCTCTCTACATTGCTCGAGGCTCAGGGTAAGGGCCAAGGAGGCTAACCTCGCAACTCCTCCGATTTTTCCTTTCCCTCGTAAAGATCTCCTGCGAACCACGACTTTCATTACCGTGTCTTGTATATCTACAAGGTAAAGTTGAAGATAGGTTAGATAGGTGAATACGTAACTTATTCGCCATGAATGTGTATAGATTTCGAAAAATTTTCACCTCTTCCCCTTTATACGTAAGTGAAAATGCCTATTATAAATATACTTCTGGTGTTGTAGTTCTGTTCTGATTTTCTGTGAGCCAAATTTCACTTTGCAGAAGGTCAATTCAGTGGTGGTGTTCGTATTAAGAATCTGGTATTTCGTTTTAGCGTTTTATGCGTAAAAACTTATTCTGTATTTATGCTCATAAATCATAGTCTACATTTTAAAGGAAATTGTAATGAATGTTTATATTGCACATTCTCTGTATTGTAATCCCATAATTTAGTTCAGTATTTTCGAATTTTTTCACGTAGTGCCTATCGTTGTGTCCTAAAGTTTGTTTTGACCGTTTTATTTGCCCTGTCAGTTTTACGATGTATTCAAATTTTCCACCTAATTATCAGTTGTTTATTTTCTAGTAAGTAATTAAATAATTATGCAGAAAGTACTAATTAACGTTGGTTTAAAAAAAAAAAACCTGGCGAAACAGTTTGTACCGATTCTAGAAAGACTGACTGTTTTATTTATTTAACGAAAATAGAATATTCATAATATTTAAAAAAATTAATCGATCTTTTTATATGTTTATCAAGTGGAAAAGGCAGTTTGTGGAAAAAGTCGAAGAGTAAAGCAGGTTGAACTTATAAAATTATTCTGTTTTCATTTGTGCATTGAAACAGAGTTTTCTGAAATGCTCCTAAGCATATAGATATTATGCATGAGAGAAATGGGACTTCTTTTTTAAGCAGATATGTTATACTTACTTTCTCTTATTTCTTTAAAATTTAAATGGTGTGCAAGTGCAGCTTTGATTGACAATTAGGAATGCCTAGGAAGTCAAGTATTGCATAATCAGTATTTAACTTAGGTTCCATTGATTTACCTAGAATCATCATGAAATTTAATCTTTGCTTTAGTTTTTATGTCTAATGTAATTATAAAATGTAGTTACTGTATAATTTGGAACAAAGTAGCTAACTTCTCAAAATTTGTATCACTTGCACACATTTTTAATGGTCTTGGACAAATCGACACAATTGTAGCTCAATATGCAAATTTATGAAATATAAGTATAAATAACAGTGAAAAATTGGCTAATCTGCGGAATATGGTAACAGGTAGTTTGGCGACATTTTGGAGACGATAAAGGTTACTACCTAGGACTTTGGTAATAATGTGAGAAGTACTGTTCCGATTACGCATTATTTTGTGTGAGGGAAATGAGAGATCATGAGATATGTCATGTGACATTAATGGATGAATTACAGTTCTTTAATTGGAAAAGGGGATTAATTTGGAAAAATTATTTTGTATTAAGCTTCATTGTGTGTTGTGTGAAATAGTGTTGATTAATTTTCGGACTGCATGGCACTATGTAAAGTGAATTCTAAATTTTTAATGCGTTTATCTGATAATAATAATAAGTTGAGATTGTGTAAAAGAAAGGATGTTACAGTTAAGTTTAAATGGCGGTGCAAGAAATCTGGTGAAAATGGACATTTTGTGAAACGCAGTGTAAGGAAGGGTACGTGGTTTGCTGAAAGTAGTTTGAGTATAGGTGAAATTTTATTAATTTCTTATTACTTGGTGAATAGACTTCCAGTTGACTACTGGATTTCGGATTTAGAAATTAGCAGTAGTACTGCAGCCACGTAATGAAGGTTCTGAAGAAGATTAGGTTAGTATTTTTAATCATTTGAGGATATTATTTTTATACATTGTTCTAAATGTAAGGAGTAAATAAATTAATGTGGATTGGAATTTTGAAATTAATTGAAATTAATTGGAAAATTGTTATTAGCAATGATTTAGTTTAAAGTAATTAGGATTGTAATCTAATTTTTACTAATTTAATGTATAAGCTTATTTATATTTTAAGTAGTGTTTTTTAATTTAATTATATTTTAATTTAATGATCGTGATTTTGTGAGTTATATATTTGTAGTATTAGTAGCAACTGTAAATGAGGAAAACAAAAGTCAACCTTCCTGCAATTATGAAGTTCACCACAAAAGAAAGACAAGCCCACAAACATCAAAAAATAAAAAAAAAGCAGCAGAAATTAGATAATTTTTTTTAAAGAATTAATTCAGGTAATTTAAAATAGTTACATAAAATGTAGTAGTTTATATGTTTGAAAATTTATGGTTATTAATTTTGCAAAAAAGTAATTTATTGAACTTTTATAATTAGGTCATTCAATACTTCATAATTGTAATTTTTCATTTCTCTCCCTCCGCTTCTCCAAACTCCAAAATGTCGGTAGTAAATCCGTAAAAGTTTCAGGGGAATTTTTGGTGTCCCACAAACACCCCTGATGCAGGAAAATTGTGTGAATTTTTCAACTTGGGAAAAAGCACATATATGAAATTACCTGATCGCGAAAAAGTATATACCCTTTCCAAGGATGAACATTTCCACGTATAAAATAAATAAAATATCCAAAAACTTTTACCTCTAAATTATCTATTATATTATGAATGTCACCAATGAATTCATACCGCAAACATTAAAAATGGTTACAAATACTTAGTGTCAAATATTTAAATTATTTCCATGCATGTTTACTTCAACTGAAACGTATACCAAATTGCTACAAACATAAAATTCACAAAATAACTATGATTTAATTAAAATATAACTAAACCATGTACAGGTCAACTTATTTTTACTTAAAAAAAACATCGCAGAATTGCACAAAAATGGCATTGCGCACACTCTTCACTATATCCATGTACACTCACTGCTTTTTTCTCATAAATTAGAAAAATTTCAAAATGCATGAAAATTTTGTGAATCTTTAAATCCGGTAAAAAGAACATATATGAAATTACCTGATCGCGAAAAAGTATAGACCCTTTCCAAGGATGAACATTTCCACGTATAAAATAAATAAAATATCCAAAAACTTTTACCTCTAAATTATCTATTATAAATGTCACCAACAAATTCTTAACGCAAACATTAAAAATAGTTGCAATTGCTTAGTGTCAAATACTTAAATTATTGCCATGCACGTTTACTTCCACTGAAACGTATACCAAATTCCTATAAACATATAATTCACAAAATAACTATCATTTAATTAAAATATAATTAAATTAAAAAACACTACTAAAAAATATAATAAGCACATACATTAAATTAATAAAAATTAGCTTACAATCCTAATTACTTTAAACTAAATCATTGCTAATAACAATTTTCCAATAATACCATATTACTTTATTTACTCCTTACATTTAGAACAATGCATAAAAATAATATCCACAAAGAATTAAAAATACTAACTTACCTATTCTTCAGAATCTTGATTGCGTGGCAGATAAACTTTTCTTATGTCCTCCACTAAATAAAAAGTATGTGCGCCTGTTTTAGGATCTTTAAAATCATACTTATAGTTCACCGCAAGATGTTGAAAACCTTCATCTTCCAAACAGACTTAATAAAACTTAATAAGCAATCTTTACTTCTAACTCGCACAACCTTAAAAAAACGCTTATTACTACCCCTTTCAATCCCACCAAATACCCATTTCGAATTCACTTTAGATAAGGCCATGGGATCCAAAAATTAACCAACACTGTTTCACCAACACAGAATAAAGCTAAATACAAAATTTCCACATTTTTTCCCGATTTCCCCCCTTTTTCCGATTAAGAACCGTAATTCGTTCCATTAATGTCACATGACATATTCTCATATCTCTCATTTCCCTCACGCAAAATAATGCGTAATCGGAACTGAGTACTTCTCACATTATTCCCAAAGTCCTAGGTAGTAACCTTTATCGCCTCCAAAATGTCGCCAAACTACCTGTTACCATATTCCAAAGATTAGCCCAAGAATTCAAAGACTTACACAAACTTGTTGTCCATGTACACATCGACCTATTTTAACGTAAAAAAAAAAAAATCGGAGAATTGCACAAACTAGCCATTGTGCACTGCCTTAACTTTGTCCATGTACACATCATTCTATTTTCACTTAAACACAATCAGTAAGGTAAAAAAAAAAGTTAAAACTGTCATATTAACCAGAAAAATTTCGCTGCTGTTTCGACATGCAGAGATGAACGAATAACCAAAAATACATGAACAGAGAGTAATAAATAACTAAAAATATATATATTTCCTTACATAAAAACATTAGACAACTAATCTTTTAACAAATATTAATACGCAGAGACGAATAAATAAACAAAATGTCTATTTCTAAACATACCTTTTTTCATGTGCATACGTTCACGCTTTCCACCAGTATCCGAAGCCTTACTGGAAAGGCAATTGTGTGCCTTCCAGCAGTAAGAAACTATAGTCATATCTGGAAGAATATACTCATTTATAACACCAAGCAAACTTTCAGACAACTTTTCAGAAACCACTTTCATAAAACATTACGTATGTGCAACTGAACACAGCAATTGAAAATGTTAAGAAACAAAAAAACCCCAGTCCATACAAAAGGGTTACTATTATAAAAAATAGCTAAAATCTGAATTTATCACAACACATTGGCGATATTCTCACAACTTTCCCCAAGGCTAGTTTTGCCAACATTATCAACATTAGGGTTACTGAAAAACCTATTTCACAAATAACCAAAACCACTTGGCAATTTTTTCACACACAAACCAAGGGGTATCATACAGCAAAGATCAACCAAAAATGATTAAATAAATGAGTAAGGCCTGAATTGGACAGGAAAGAAAATTTAATACTTTAAACAGTATTCTTGTCGATCAGGTAGAATAACTGCTTAATTTGGGCATATAATTTGCTTAAATATGTAATATTCTTTTCTTATAGGAGAAGTACTGCTGGATATTCTACTTTATAGAATCATTTCTTTGCTTATTTTCCTGGGAAAGGAGGCATATATTCCTTAGCTTTTATTGATTTTGTTTGTAGTGGCTGAGCAAAAACCTGTTGTTATGAATGAAGGGTAGCTCATTGCCAACTGTTTCACATAACTGGGGCATGTTTAATGTAAATCTGTGACCTTCACTACAGTAGACCCAATTTACTAGATC